TTATTTGTTTTCTTTAATTTAACAATGATAAACATATTAAGCATTGTTGTTGTAAAATTCCTAAAATGCTGAAACATAAGTCACATTTGTGCATTTTGATTTCCATTTCACTAGCGGAGTCATTGGGGAATCATAATCACGGAGATAGCGTTTCTTTAATATCCAGAACCGGAAGGCAACAAAGCGAAAAGACGAAATAACGCCAAAGCGCCAAAGCGAAAAGACGAAATAACGCCAAAGCGCCAAAGCGAAAAGACGAAAAGACGCCAAAGCGCCAAAGCTAAATAACGAAATAACGCCAAAAGGAGGGAGAAAAGACGCCATTTTATCTCTTCGCTTTGGCGTTATTTTCACTTCGGTTTGGCGTTATTTCGTTATTTCGCTTTGGCGCTTTGGCGCTTTGGCGTTATTTCGTTATTTAGCTTTGGCGCTTTGGCGTTATTTCGTCTTTTCGCTTTGGCGCTTTGGCGTTATTTCGTTATTTCGTTATTTCGCTTGGCGGTATTTCGCGGGCGACAAAGCGAAAAGATGAAATGTCATATATCAGCCACCATATGTATGTGCACATTGCGATGATTATCTGCTTGCTTAATGCAAAAAGGTGATTGTAAGCCTTTTTTTTTTGTTTCACAAGTATAACTTATACTATTATCCATATGTTGTAAAAGCGTTTTAGAGAAATTTTACAAATTAGATAGGGCGCTATATAAATGTTGTATATTTTTACTTTTATCATTATTCAGTTAGTCTCAAATAAGGGATATCATCTACTACAAACAAAACTTTACAAATCATGATATTATTCATACGACTTAAATGATTCAAGTCCATCCTACATTTCCTTTAAAATCCTTCCCTTTTTGGTTAAATCAAAATATTCCTAGAACAAAGAAAAACCTTGATGACATACCTGTACACACACTGCTAGTTTGGTCACATATCTTGTCTCGGCAGTTGTCTGGACACGATTTGTCACACTGACTGCCATGGTATCCACTGACACAAGCTGAATAAACATCACACATAACTTGGTCTGAGTATGTTTTCGTAAAAAAAGGATAAAACAAATAAAGAAGAGTTAACATTATTATGAAGTTCAGATATTGATTATGCAATATAAATATGGACTATGGAGGCACGAATTGATAAGACGTCAAGTAAGTGGTGAGGTATGCTGCTTTGCTGTTCCTAGACAAAGAACACTTGTTATTATCAACCAAATTTGGTGATTACAGTTTTTTTGTTATTCGTCACTTCCGTCGTTCGTTATACTCAAATAAGAAAGTGTTATGTCGGAAAACTGGATTTGTAGCCATACAACAGTAGACATTCGAACAACCAATGGTATTGAACTACCCATTCCAGTGATTCGTTGGGCCAATTACAAACAGTTATTTATCACAGAGGCTGCCCAAGTACCCGTTTAAGTAACCTTTACAAGGCATCGAAGCCGATACGAATACCATCGCACTTAAAGCTGATATGGTGGCAGTGACCTAGTGTTTTACTGCAGAAGGTCGAAAAACAAACTCGAAAAAGAAGTGACGGTTATGACCATGTGTGAAAAATAAAAGTCAAGTCGATCAAACCAAAACGCAAACACGAACCAGAGGTAATGTCTGAACATATGTGTGAAGTTTGTGACGACTGGAAAAGATATTAAGTCTGTAGAACAATTTCCTTTGAATTTTATTTATGTCAAAGTTACCACATCAGGTCAAAAAACGAACTGATAAAATAAGTGATTTCAATAAACACCATTGTGAAGTTTCGTAACAATCGGAAAGGAGATATTTCTGTAGAGCTGTGACTTCAAAAACGATTCTATACATCTATTTATAGTTACGGTGACCTAAATGTTCGTGACAATTTGAAAAGAAATGAAGGCTGAAACGTGATGACGCAAACAATTATATCGAATTCTATTGATAGTTAAAGTGACCTAGTCGAAACGAAAACCCGAATAATAAGCAACGTGGTTGTTTGAAGTTTCATGAAAAACGGATAAGGAATGAATGTTGATAGGTGACGCCGGTTGAGACGAATGTACGACATATCCCTATATACCCTCGACAACTCGTGGTACGATCATATTATATACATGATACACAAATGAATCAAAGTATATTCAGTTAACATTTACCACACAAAAAGATAGATTTGCATTTTAAGAGTGATAAGGGTTCATACAGTTGTGTGACCGCACCACGCACCAAACATAGCGTGCGCATATCGTCATACATCGTACACACACCGTCCGCACATCGTCCACACATGGTGCGCACAACTGTGCGATTAAACAATCGTTCGCCTCGTCTTCTTTCATTACTATTTAGGTGCAAATGCAAAATTTGAGCTTGACGTACGGTTTAACATTGATTTAAACACGAGTTTATAGTTGTAAAGATTAAAAAAAATGATATTATACATTAAGCTGATAAGTTCGACAAGCTGGACAAATATGAGCATAAGGAACAAGCAGGTTGATTAATAGTATATCAACCATAGTGTGAATAGGAATGACTATACGTGTACATAACATATATTAGAGTCTTAGACTTGTTCAATATTCAAATATCTAACGAAAAGTACGTTTAATCAATATTATGATATACCTGTAGTACAGAAACCGTTGTCCTGGGAACATGTGTTGTATTTACAGTTGGCTGGACAGGTCTGATTACACATATTACCATGGAACCCACCAACACATTCTGTAATTGATAATCAATTATTTAAAATTAATTTTTGATCATATTTTCTTTTTTTCTCAAAGAATCAAATCTTTATTAATTTTGTCTTTTTAAGACAACCAGGAAGGTGGATACCTCGATACCTGATTAACTATAGACTTTTTTGTACAAACATTGGAGGGGATTTATTTTTACTTAATAAAAGATCTCTAAGAAAATAATCATTTCCTATCTCATGAACACCTCTGTAAGAAATACCAGGTGGCATAGGACTAGTAGTTAGCGCCTGATTAGGCAGCACCTGCGAATTCCTCAAAAATTGTATTGATTATTGTATATGCTGATTGTATTAATTGTATATCTATGTAATGTAAAGCGCTTTAGAGTGGCTTATGTTAGCTAGATAGGGCGCTATATCAAATGCTGTATATTATATGATATAAATATAAATCTTATAGAGTATTATGGTGTTTTGAATGCCATTCCTAGGTCATGGAACTCTATTTTACTTCAAGAAAATGAATAGATTGATGAGAAACAAAGTAACTTTTACTAAATATTTAAAGAAACATGAGAAATTAACAAAGTACTATTTATAACTATATGCTGAAATCTGTTACTGAATTACAAATGAGAAGTCAATGTTTAGACAATACCGCATCAAACAGAATTACATGTTTATGGATATTATATTCACCTTCACAGATACTAGTATCCTTGGTGCACATATTGTCTTTGCAATTGATTGGACACGGTTGTTGACACATGGTGCCATGGTATCCTGAATCACATCCTGAAAGTACCAATTGTGTGCAATGAATAATAAACGAAACAAGTACAATATAGTTCGCAAAGCTCTATGCTGAATGAGTGTGAAAACATATATACGATAGAGGTTTACACTCTTTGGTCATGATATAAGTACATGTATAAGTATATCTTGGTTTTTGCTCAATATTCAAATATCTAACGAAAAGTATGTTTAATCAATATAATGATATACCTGTAGTACAGAAACCGTTGTCCTGGGAACATGTGGTGTTTTTACAGTTGGCTGGACAGGTCTGATTACACATATTGCCATGTAATCCAACAAGACATTCTGTAAATGTTAATCAATTGTTTGAAATTCATTTTGATCAATATTTCCTTTTCCTCAAAGAATTAAATCTGTATTAATTTTGTCTTTTTAAGACAACCAGGAAGGTGGATACCTCGATACCTGATAAACTTGAGATTTTTATGTACAAACATTGGTGTGAAAAAGTTGCTTTCTTAAAAAAACATCTCTTAGAAAATAATAGTTTCTCATCTCTTGAACACCTCTGTGGGAAATATGATATAAATATAAATCTTATAGAGTATTATGGTGTTTTGAATGCCATTCCTAGGTAATGGAAATCTATTTTACTTCAAGAAAATGAACAGATTGATGAAAAACATCATTTCTAAGGATCAAATCTAAAATCCTTTTCTAATACCACGGAACAATTAGTAAACAAGTCACGAATTAAATAGCTATCCGAGATCAGCATCTTTAAACAATTCTGCATAAAAAGATAAAATAAAATAAAACACAACCAACCAGCTAACGTCACGATATCCAACGGGACACTTTTAGATAAATATCAATCTACTCCATACCATATTATGATTTCCAAGAATGCTCGTTTTTTTATAAAAAGATACGTCAACTTTCAATGCTTTTACAAGTTCGTATTTCCGGCGTGTTTTTCTATCAATATAACGCAAAACAATAGGGTCACGGAGGCCCTTGGACAGGTGTAACTGTACCCTGAAGGAAAGCTTTGGTATTTTAAATCATATACATAGTTTTAATACTTAAGATTCAGAAGGGGCTCTGATTAAATTTCCTCTCCAAAATTCCATTCGTCTTAATAAAATAAACTTTTGAAAATGATGTCCAAATAAATAGCGTCGCATGACATATAAATCACGACATTTCGGTTTTGGTAATTATTCTTACCTTTTAATTATCTATGTAATGATATTCAACAGCCAATGAAGCTTTTATACAGTCAAAAGGTCATAAAAGTATCATAAAGAGAAAACTGCATACATAAGACTACTATTTTGAATTAAATGACAGTTTTTTGGGCCGTTTTCCAACAAATGTCCCGTTTTGCGTACTGTGTCGTTTCTGGATGATCTTATGTAGTATGGGTAACACCCTAGAGTTTTATAAAATACACTGTAAACCTGACATTAGCCAACAAACTTGAGAATGAATTATTTTTAAATCTATGTTGTATTTAAACAATAAAATCGTCTATTGAGGCAGATATTGATCAACTAAGCCTTTGTGTCAATTGAGATATATGCAAAGCAATTTATTTTGATTACATGAAAGTAAATAGTAATTACGGAATACTTTGTGTTATTTACGATATATTATGCTCATTTGGCACAACTATTTTCTGTAAAACTTTGATATGATAATAATACGTAGGAACAAAAATCTTATAGCCATTTAGCAACGGAAATATAAACCCATTGTTATATTAAACGACTTACTAGTTTAAAGGTATTGCTACTTATTTATATTAACACCTGTGGTAAAAATGAGAACAAATGATAACATTTACTTAGTTACACATTTCGTTTTCTTTACCACATATTTTGTTTTTGCAGTTATCTGCACATAATTGATCTCCATAGTACCCATAAGTGCAAGCTTAAGAAACGTGACAAATCATTTGACCTGGTGTATCTAAATCAATATTAACGTAAAAAGATACGTGGAAATCCAGTTCGATTTGAGATCCTATATTAGTTAAAATATAAGTAAAGCTTATTGAAGGGGAAATGCTCACAGTATGTTAACAAATGTGCTGTCATATTAGACTTACATCCGACATGCTAGCATGAACTTATCTTCGACTTAATATTCATTTTCCACAAAATACTACAACCTAGTAATCATTCATTTACATCGAGAGTACAAATTGTCTATTTTCTCAATTACAGTATGTTTATTGTTTATAATGTAATGGTGTATTGCTTATTTCAGCATAATAACTTTTTATAGTTTATAATTTAGTTTAGTTATATATTTAAATTGGCACTATCATGTTCTGTAAATCTAAAATGAGAGATAATATAGAAATATAAGAAATCATGATATGGTAGATAGGATTTAATGAGTTAAGTCCATCCAACATTTTCCTTCAAATCCCCTTTTTTTGTTAAATCGAAATATTGCTAAAAGAAATTATACACAACTTGATTGGCATATTACGTCATCGACGCCCATCTTTAATCACGTGATCAGTCGGCCATTAAAGTCATGATTACTAAGGTAAACAACAATGGCGGACACCTCAAAGTACCAAGGCGGCGGTGGAGATTGTTGTGCTATTGTCGGGCGTTCAAACAACAGAAAGAAATGGTTTAACTGGAGATTTACAGTATGTGACACACATGGTACTTTACATGACGAATGTCCATGTTTGATCCCCTCTTCGCTGTATAAACTGCCAGCCAACGAGTGCCAAATATTGTGTTGGGTAAAAACCATCAACAGGAAAGATTTACCAAAGCGAGTTTTTTGTTTGTTCGGATCATTTCCCAGATGGGCGTCCAACCGAGAAGAACCCGATACCAAGCATCGGAATGGGTGTGTAACTGTAATTGTGTTTTTTCCTCATTTGAAGCATTCAAAGTTTTCAGGACAAAAGACAAAAACGAAACCAAACATACTGTCGTGAGTACATGTACACAGAGGTCTGGTCGAGAATTGTTTACAGATATATTTTGAAGAAAAAAATAAGATGATCTCCCAATAATCGTTTATACCATCACTGGGGGTGGTAATTTTACTGAGAATTGATTTAAACTCCTAAAACGTGTTGTATTAATCTGAACACTTCAGTTTAGGTTCAAATAACTATAACAAATAATCAGGTCCCTGTGTACCAGGCGGGCTATCATGCATGCACCGATTTCAAAATAACTATGCATGCTGTCAGTCTGTTGAACTGGCATTATTATGTATATNCCCCCCCCTCCCACCACCAGGACAACCAATTTTACTTTATTTAATGTATACAAATGTATCACAAAGTGGGGAAAGTTCGAAATCTTTAGTCTACCTAATAGTGTAGTCTTAGGCTTCATGATTGATGTTTCTCCAGAATGCACAGAAATGCATTAATTATTAATTGATAATGCCTCATACAAAAATGCTGTGTCTACCAAATACATATGTAAAGTAAAATTCCTACCCAAAATTGGTGCCCTTTTATGATGGGCAGTGAAAAAAGTCTAATATTTTATTTGCTCTTGATATATTAAATAACAATATTTTGAAAAATAATTCTTATCAACCGTATACTTTCTCATAAGGTTAAAGTTCTTTTCTTTGAAAATATTATAGTCTGCTTAATTCTGAAATTTCCCATGATAAAATGTCAATCCAGTCCCTGTTTCAAATGCTCTGGCAATTACTAACAAAAATATTAGTTATCATTAATGAATTGAATTCATGGAACACATCTATTGGTTGCACATATTCATATCATGCAAATTTTGATGTATTATTTTCCCATTTTATTAATGTAGGCTATGCAAATCTTACTATCAAAAGCAGAAGAATCCTCAAAAGAAAGATACAGACTGATGAGAGCAATGTAAAGGAAAGGTAATTTGTATTTATGAAACTCGACAGTCCATTAGTTATGCTAGTTAATACAAACCATTTTAAGTGTTACTTTTAGTTGAAAGCAATGCTATATAGTTATAATTTCAAATTCATATGGAAACATATTAACTGATTCTAAGGTTTTAAGATTAGTGATTATTCCTGGGTATAATTTCCATTTGTACAATCGAAACTTGGATATCTGTATTTGTCATTAAACTATAAGGCATTAATAAAATCAATATTAATTATATGATCTTTATAATCATCTTCTTTTATGTTTTTTTATGTTAAGTGTTTTATTATTTTATTATTTTAGATATTCACTTAGGACCAAGGAGACTGGCGAAATTCTTAAGAGAAAGTATGCTGATGAGAGCAGTTTCACGGAAAGGTATAATTAACTGTCCAATTCTTGAAGAATGTAATTGAATAGTATTCAAATGATGTACAGGTCTTACCCACTGGTCCTTAAATGGAGCCTCAGCCAGAGGTCAAAGTTCAACAAGGGCAGTAATCGGTACTGAGCTACTGTAACACATATCTACTATGTTGGCATACTGGATGTTACATTGATCATTTGGGTCATAATTTGAGACACGGCCAGGAGTTCACTTCAATAGAAGCCGTGATAAGAACAAGTACTCAGCAACAAAAATCTGTTTTCACAAACATTTGAAATGGCTTTGATGTGCAATTCGAAAACATCCAAGACCCAGGCTCATTTACAGAGCCACGGTTAGGTGTACAGTTAAACCTAGGCTATGCTAGAATCATATTGAACAACCAGAATGCCCCAATAAGGATCTTCACCATTTTAAAAGTGGATATCTCTCGATAAAATGTTCCCCAAAGGTGTATTTTTTTCTTTTTATGTAATTAATGTTATTTCTTATCTAGGGAGAAATCATGATGGGTAAGTAAAACAAAGTGAGTAATCAAGGCCCACCTGCCTTTTGTTAAATGATAGGACAATATATTTCGCTTAATATCACTTCTCATTTGTCAACTAAAACCATGACATTAACCGGAAATTGACATAAATAGAAAACATATTTTTGCTGACCATTTCAGGTGTCAAAAACCGGCAGTGACCATATTTAAATGTCGAAGTGATATGGTTTTAGCACAGACTTAGATAAAAAAAATCCATGGTTTTATTATCATAATTATTTTTGATTTTCAGTCAGCCACTAGTGACAGCAGATCACGACCAAACGAAAGGCATTGGTGTGCAAACAGATTTGGAGACTATCAATTCAAGTACGCAGTGGTGTGACAACAGTCTACAAGATCATGCATACCATGTACAAGTACCTGGCAATTGTGTTAGCCATTGTGATGCCAGTACTCAGACACCATCAAATCACAGGTATCAAAAGGTGTAAATTGTACAACAACTCATGTAAACATGTCTTGTGAAAAGCTGAATACAGATTCAGAGTCTCATGAAAATAACTGTTACAAGTTTATTTACTTGTATACATGATTTTTTTCAGATTTCAACAAAAATTGAACAAGTACACTTCTAAAAGGAATCATGTGTAAGCGATATCCAGTATCTACGACACGTCAGTATGTATACAATGTAACACGTTATTTTGTATTGAATAATAGTATGTATGACATGGTAGTACATACATGTATGCATATCGCAGTAAACTGAATGATTAACGGATATCTTCCTATGCAATGGCACAATAAGTACGAAGGGACCTTAACCTTGGAGACTAATTTTTGCTCGGAAATATATGATAAAAGAACATGAATAGAAAAAAATACATTGTCGCAGAAGGCATAAATCGCCTTTTTGAAGATGTTTAATTCCTCAGGATCCAAATTTCATTTAACTTTACGGTAAATTTCAAATATTTGTATCAAAACTTTACCTGGAGGTGCTGGCGAAACAATAAGTCAAAACGAGTGACACAATTAAAACAATTGAAACATTACCTCTCCGTTAAAATAACGAAATATATACCCCAAAACATACCTATATTTGTCTTTATTGCTTTATAATCTAAAATTGCCCGATATTTTGCTTGAGGCAATAAAAACAATATGTAATATTGTTTACTGATATCTAAATGTCCTTAATTCTACTGTCAAGTAGTAAATTTTCTTTTGTCATCGTTAATGTTGATCGGAATCATTTAAAAGCATTGTAAAGGTTGATATAACCACTTGAATTATGTATTGAAAACATTTAAAAAAATATATCAATGGGTATCAACGCTTATAATTATAATGACTTAACAAAGTAGTTAAAGCTACTTAAAGCAAATGAGTTGGAAATAAAAGTACTTGTATCAACACTCCCTATCCCATTTTGTTAATAGAAGAACTAACGATCACAATTTCCGGATGTTTTGTCGCAAACAGGATCGGCACAGTTCGGGGAACAGGCAACACAAAGAGGCCCGAAGAAACTGTTTTCACAATCTGATAAGGTATGAAATTAATATGGGATACACTTTTTTTCCGTTATGGATAGTATCATCAAAGCAGAAGGCTAAGACATATTAAATATGCAAATAAGTGTTTTGTTTACTCTACCGAAATACACATGTACCAATGGTTCAATGTTTCAAATCAATTTGGTTGAATTTCGAGTACGAAGGAAACCATCGTATCCTTGTGTGAATGGTTGCATTAATGGATGTCAAAATACGATTTCGAGAGAACACGTTTGAACTCGTTTAAACCAAACAAGCATCACATAATTGCTTTTAATTAATCCCCAGTACAAATGCTTATTTTCGTTCTAGATTGAAATACAAACATTTAAACTGATAAAGGTTAACAACATAAAGCGATGTACCTTTAGTTACAAGCATTCACGTTTGAAGAGCAGCATAAATAAAAAAAAATGCGGAAGGATGTATTTCCTTTTACGTAAGTGGTGCGGTATGCATTTAATACATATGCAATTACGCTAAGGAAAGGTTTTGTCTGTGATGCTAAGAGAATGGAAGGGGATCAGATTCACAACAAAACCCTCATTCATATCCGATTTTAGTTTCAATCGGCACTACCGTATTCCGTGATATCAATATATGAGGATGCAAACAACTACATATTTGGCTATATAAAAATAGACTTCAAACTACCCATGTCATTGAAAATGCTTTTTGTGTCAGGAAAACTTTTATCTGAACCAGAATTGTGCAGTCCTATTTAAATATTTATTTGATTAATCGTATCATTGCGTACGAACACGTTCCCTCACAGAAACCGTTTTCTTGATCATTCATTTCCCCCTGACAGTTTTCCCGACATAATTGATCATAACTGTCGATCGAATTGACAAAAGCTGAATAAACATGGTACATTCAATTATTGGATGGTGTTTCGACAAAACATTACAAAGCACACCAGGTACTTTTAAACCAAACAAGTGAAGTCAAATTAAATCCAAGACCATATTTCAGTAAGGCCTTAATGAAAAAGGTGATATTACAAATATATTACCAAATGTGCCATATTATCAAATTAGTACTAAAAGGGTGACAAAGTATTTGTAAAGATATAAGACAATGTTTATTTTATTGAACTCCGTTGAAATAGCATTTACAGTCAATATGATTGACACAGCTTTGGTAGCGCACGGGCATCATGAAGTGTTGTCCTCCAAAGCCGCAAACAACGTTATAGTAAATGTAGAGTGGTTCATCTGTATAAAACGTAACCTTTTTTATCTGCAAGTTACTGTAACTAAATCAAAGTTGACTGATTGAAATATAAAGTGTATAATTTATACCTTTGAAACATCATAATCTTATATTTTCTGTATACGACGTACTTTGCTGGCCAATATTTATCACATCGATCGCCATTAGAGACATGGTATTAAAATATTTCTATTTCAAAATTCATTACTACAATTTCAATTTATCTTTCACTTATATATGTATAATCTACACCACAAGTAATTAAAATAATGACATGTGTCGTAGTACTGTAATATTAGTCGCAGTAATGACTGACAATGAGACACTCTAGGAAAGCAATACAAAAATCAGTATCTACACATCACTGCATGTTTATCATGAAAATCACCCAAACAAGTATTGTACGTTTTAATCTTAGATACCAGTATTATGACTTTTTACTTACCTGAGCAATGACCGGACTCCACATTGCACACGCCATTCAAACAATTTGTCGGACAAGCTGTACAAACAAGCCCGGACTTATAAAATCCCGGCGCACAGTCTAAAAATAATAAGACGTTACTGTGTATAATATGTTATTTATCAAATGGAAGTATCAATACAATGTAACAGTTAGTATAATATGTTTAAAGGCAATGGCATTTCATTGATATCAAGAAATATTGAGATAAAGAAAAACAATAGTAAACATCTTTATGGTAAATATTCGTCATGTAATTTGTATGTCAACGAAAGAAATTATCTTATATTCTAATGATATATAAATAAATGTGTAAATGACAAACTTTTCAATGTATTTTTTTTCAGGTGCATAGCAACACTGAATATCTGACACAATGGCAATATTTGTGCAACACGTAACGTTTTCTTTGGTGAATAACACATTTTTTGTATAATTTACTGGAGTTTTGTAAATTTTCACATTTGTTCGATATATATCGATATGAACATTCGCCTATAAAAGTTAAAAAAATCAACTCAAAATGTATTTACTTACATGTACACTGACCGCTGTTAGGATGACACAGGCTATTAACACAGGTTGTATCACAGTTTGAATCACAATCTCCGTCACCATATTTCCCTACTGGACAACCTGAAATGTGTATATCTTTTGATGTAATTTGTACAAAAATCCTTTCCTTCTTAAACGAGCTTTATTATTTTATGCGCTAAACACTGAAGTATGGTACATTGAAATATGAACATCAATACGAAGCCGCTATTAATTTCTTGGATTAAATTGATTAAGGTTATGATCTCTCACCAAAAGCATCTACAGCAAAACAAGTCCATTAAATGTACATGTGTAACAAAAATAAAAACAAAAACAACTTGAACATATTAAATAAAGTGACAGACAATTACCTGATCATATGCGCTTAAAACAAATAAAAACAGTTATACAGGTACAATGTCTAAAGCCATTTTATGTAAGTTTGTCTCTAAATTACAATAGGTGTCATGCACTATACAAATGGCTACTAAAAAAACGTATTTTGACCTGCCTTTAAAATGTGTACTATTTCTGCAGCAGGTGCTTACTTTATGTTAACAGTTTAGGATTACATGCACAAAACACATGTTGTTTTGTAATTAAAAATGTGAATTCTTTATTAAGATTTTTTTTATTGCCTTTACACCAAGAATGAACCTGTTTTTCCATCATATATAACTCACATTTGTTGGCCTGGATGGAAAAAATAAAGGATCTTACTACGAGAGGAACCCAGAGTACCCGGAGAAAACCCACATAGTCGGGCTAGTGATTCAGCACCTGTTAACGTCTGATCGAGGACACCCTTGCAGATCGGGGATCGGGAAATGAATACACCTGGTGTTATCCACTGCATGTACCGTAAGAGGCGATTGATGTAAAATATGTAAAAAAAAAACACTGCAGAATTTGGGATTTGCTTTAGTGTCCTCTATTTGAGGTCACAAAAGCGACCAAATAAATCTGCTGCACCCATTGCAATATTTGGGATCTTTACATTTCTCACTACTTCTAGCTACCTTTTATTTCATAGCGCCTTGCTTGGCAATACCTCACTTTTAGCTTTAAAGTTTAACGTTTCTTCAGGTGAGAATGGCAATTGGTTCTGTACTCAGGCCAGAACATACCAAAGTCTTTAAAAATGGCAGATACTATTACCAGTTTAACGTTAGGCATTTAGGGTAATAGCAACATCTGCTTCACCCTTTGTCAGTATAATGTAACAGGACGAAATACTTTTACAAGGTATTCCAATGAGATAGCACTTTTAAGTCGGCATCAGATACGTGCTATCACAAGGAGGCAATTACAACAACATACCCTGCCTCCAGAACAGATACATGCATACATGCATACGCAACACAAATGGGAGCACGTCCTTAAATTGCCATAGCTGTTAATAGGACATTAAACATTATAAAACCAAATCCATCAGGGAATCGGACATAGGATTAATAATACTTAATAATCACTATTGTTTTGATAAGTATTAAGATGACCATAAATTTATTGGAAAAAAAATAAATGAATATCAGTTAAGTTTGATTTTTTTTTAAATTTACATGTTTCGTGATGTTCAATAGGTACATGTGAAAAAAATAATCATTTGATTCTACTCTAATATTTTCTAAATTCTTTTATTTTTTTCTTGTAAGATTTGTCTCCCTTCGCATACCATAGTGATCCAAACCATTGATAGGTTTTGGTTTGATGATTTTCTTGCAATCTTTGTCATAATGTTGTTTATTTCTATAATATTAAAGCTATTTTCTAAACGAGCAGATTTCCACAACCTTGACGCGTACATGTACGTTACATCGTATGATGAACATCAGTCTGATAGCTTACTGACAATAAAAATAAAAATTGGCGCGGCAAAGTATTTTAGATATTTCGATATTTGATAATAGCCGGGTATAGGGATTAATCTGGAAATCTCAAACAACATGGAGTATGAATTGGAGTAAATATGCTACACATTCCAGACAAATTACCAGGAACGAAGCATGTTATTTTGGGTAAGCAAAAATCACCACTTACATAGCCTAAATAGCAGGAGCATAAAAGCCCGGGTGGTGAATTGTTCAAATTGCGACAAATACTATTCTTATGTTTCATTCTTGTCAATTAGTTTATTTCTCTTTTACAAAATCTTTAGTTCGTTGATTTAAGTTTTCAGGGCACGAATGACATACACACACAATACAACCTAATGGAGACTATATACATCATATGACGTCTCAATGGTTTAAATCAAACTACTGCACGAATACACTCACCATAAATTTGTACTTCACAGAGCTCCAGTATAGCTTGTGTAGTGTACCAAGAGTAAGGTTTTTTTTGACGGTCGACGTAAATTGTCAGGTATCGGGTGTTGCCTGTACATGATGTGATTCGTGGAGTTAGGTCCACCATACTTTGTTGAGAAGTTGTGTCTGCATAACAACTGCCACTGTTTCTCCAACCTGTTGTATTTGTCAGGTATATTTGATGACCAGCGAATCGACCTTTTTGCTCTAATGATCCCTCATCTGAATGAATACAAAGGTTAATAATCACAAGTTTAAGTGTATTGATATTTGGAATAAAAATTTGTTTCGTTTCTGCTTTCATTCCATTAATATATAATATGTATCCTGTCAGACAGCAGTAGCCATTTTTTAATTATTTCTTTCTTATACTTCATAACTGGTTTACAATGATATCTATTTTTTCGCTGATTTTTGCTGTAAACAGATACAGACGAAAAATAAACGGTTAAATAAGTTTTAATGTATACAGCTTCATATGTAGTAAAACGAATGATGACCATGATTCCTGTCGATTTCTTCCGGAAGACCTACTTATGAAGTCGTTACACCTTTTGTAAACCACAGGATTCTAACAACAAATACGTTATGTACTTTTTAATCTGAATAATCTGCGATATTACCCCCTATTAAAATATGTATCCCTACATTTGATTTTTTCTGTAACAGAAATAGTTCAAACAAATTCATCTGTTGAACATTCTTACGTCGAATTAGTGTGTCAGAGATGTGAATGTTTTGTCCTGAAATGTATGCATGGAGCTAATGATTTCTATTATCTGAATTCAAAGCTGCAACTATAATACCATGTTTATGCTTTTTATCAATATCTTTAAAAACCTGCATATGAACAGTAACCCCAGATAGTTTGGACCGATTTATCTCAGAATTAGTCACCTGTCTGAGATTTTTAAACATTGTTTTTTCAATCAAACCCTTTCATATGAAAATGCTAGTGTCTATATAATCTCACTACAATCGATCAATGTGTTGTTATAAATACAGAATATCTTAAGTTTTAGACAAGAGATCAAATGGGCATGTACTGCTCACACCTGCCTTTCAATACTGTTTGATATCACAATTCCAAGTCCGTAAACTTCAAAGTTTGTCAGGATAAATTGTCATGAAGCAGTCAAGGTAACAGTACAGACAAAGTATCTTCATTCCATTAACTTCAATTCCGTCTTTGCGTATTGCAGAGTTATCTTCTATTGGGAGCAGGTATTGATTGTAACGTCATTGGTTTGTGCGAGAAAATTAGGTCGTTTTCTCACAAATTGATGACGTTACTCTCACATACAAGTGACGTAACAATCAATACCTGCTCCCAAGAGAAGATAACTCTGCAATACGCAAAGACGGAATAGCTTTCTTAAGAAGTTTGACAAACTAAATTGTGATACTTTCCACACTGGTTAATGTAATTCATTCAAGGAAAAAAAGGATATATCTTCGCAAGTAAAACACTTCATGTTACTACATTAGACCCTTAAGTACCATAAGTTTTTAACTACATTAACATAACATTATTGACCCATAAAACCTAGAACGTATGTCTAGGTTCTTTTTTTAAACTGTGCAGAACTTCAACTAAAATGTCTATCTGTTGGTTCTTCATAAAATGTGATTTGAGGAATTTTTTTGTTTTACATGTTTGACACTTTTGACCGTTAATTTCATAATTGTCTATGGTATATATCTTACAAACAATGGAAATTTGGAAACATGAAGAGATTATGAAATCACCCTTCTTACAGTGACAAACATAACCTACACGTCTGATTTACATTATAAACATGTAGTAATATTAATATGGCAAAATTGACGTTATTTAAGGAGAGCATAAATACCAATTGTTGCAGCTATAACACATTAAAGGGTTGCAACAAGTTTTAGATAACCAGTCATACATGAACTGGTCACAAGAAAAGGCGCGTTGTCAATACATTTACATTGTTTGGAACATTTCGGATAGTAAAAAGGCTGAACAAGATTAAGAACACATGTACATTTGATATGATCTAATATATACGTTCAGTATCTGTAATGAATATCTTGGTAGTTTTTATAATATATGCATTTTGACCATTTAATTAAGTTGCATTGGAAAATAAGTAAGGACGAATAACGTCATATGAAACACAT